TCTACAAATAAAACTAACATATAATTCAGCAATCCCACTCCTGGGTATCTACCCAAAGGACAGGAGAACGCTAAGTTGGAAAAGTGCTTGCACATCTATGTTTATTGTGCTATTATTCACAATTGCTAAGACATGGAACCAACCTAAAGGTCCATGAATGGAAGAATAGATTGAGAAAGTGTGGCACATATACTTTGTGGAATACTATTCAGCCATAAAAAACAAGACCCTGACTTTTAATAGAAAATAAACCAATGCGGAAAGTTTACTGCTGAGTGAAGCAAGTCAGGCTGTGAAGGCAAGACATTGTATGTTTCCACTTTATAACAGCTGTACTTTATGGCTGAAACTGAAAGTTTGTATAGAAACAACGAAAATTATTATAGATACTGAATACAGTGTGGGAAGAGAGTGAGGGGAGGAGAAGAGTCTGAGGAAAGATATTACGGAGAAACATAGAGAGGCAAGACATTTATAGGACACAGAAATGGATTATTATCTGTTGATGACAACATGTATAGTATCTCCAACTATACTGTTGAGAAATGTATTCATGTTAGAAAATTCACTTTATAAGCTAAATGATGTATAGTAACTGAATGGATAAAAGAAACTAAACTAAACTAAAATACAAGTAAAAAAGACTTAATTTTTTTTTCTTTCATAAAAGAAACACAGAGGTGTGGTAGAGAGTAAGACAGGCACTCCCAGTAGATCTTCACACTGCATTCCATGTTTAGCCTCAGTCCTCCCAGATAACAGGCATATAACCACCCAACTTGTACAGTAAGTCCTCTGGTTATAAACCCAGGACCTTCCCCAAGTAGTTTCAGCATCACAGAGCCAGGACCTTCCCCAAGTAGTTTCAGCATCACAGAGCCTTGCTAATGCAAGGCTCCGCACCACTGCTGCCAGTGCTGTCAGCCTATAGTAACTTACCTTTATGCCCTATCAAACTCATAATCAGTTTTGATTTAATATGTCTGTGTCTGACAGTGTCATTCCATTTAGACATTTTTTTCCTCAGAGTCAAGCACCTAATCCCTCTGTTAAAAATAAAATCAACATTGCAAAATAAACATTGGTTTATAGTTAATAAAATTAAAAGGAAAAACTACAAATGTCTTCATTAGAAATCCTCCAAACTGTTTTACTCTTTATATGTTAATAGAAAATAAATCTTTTAGCAAGTCAGCAATACGAATGATAAACTGTCATTCAGTCTAATTTGCTGTAGAAATAATTATGCAGTTTGTCATTAATTCACTTTAATCGATTTTTGAAACTGGAAATTGAAACTTCTTCCCACTGAGATTTCTGCAATAGTTGTTACCCTACAGCTCTTCAAGACAATGTGCAAAATATACATGCAAATGCATTAAATGTGGTATTGGGTTTTGAGCCAAGCATGATGCCAATGGAATTGAAAATGACTCTGACAAGTGGAAAGTCTCTTGGGATATTATTCCAGCAGTTCCCTTTTTATGAATGTAATAAAGATTTCCATGAACAAGTGTCTATCTACTTAGTTCACATACCTTTACTCATTTCAGTTCAACATGGAACTGTATTTTAATAGGTTCCAATGAAACCAAGATGGAAGTAATCTTTATCTGCATTTCAGAGAAGGAAACATGATAACAAGAGAATGCTACTCTCTAATACTGAGGATTCTAAGTCATCTTCCCAATGGACTCCTGATGAGCCCATCAAAAATTTGCTATTGGGGCCCAGCAGGTGGCATGGTGCTTGGGGATCCTGGACTCCCTTATGGCTGACCGTGGTTTAGGTCCCAGACTTGGTGGCTTCCTTTCTTGCTCTCTTTCTCTCTTTCTGTCCCTCTCTGGTCAAATTAAAATAGAAAGAAAAATCTTGGTATTCATTTTGGTTTTTATTAAGACTGTCTGACCATAGAAAGCATATAAATTCTGAATTTAAGGTATGGAACAAATTCCCATTTTATTGGTACACTAGTATTTTCAAGAGTTAAATCTAATCCAAATGATGTTTTAATTACAAATAAAAGCAATTAGATTTTGGTATCTAAAATTTCATGATGCTAGAAAACAAAAGTGAAAATTGAAACCTATTACATTTTTTAAATGCTTTAATTTTATTCAACAATTTGGAAGTTTTCTGATTTTTCTGCTGCTAAATATTGTTTTCTTCACTCCCTACTCTTTCTGTTGACTTTTAATTTTTACTTGACTGAGAGACTGGTTTTATCCTAGGCCTTTCTTGTTGATTGGTCACCTTTTTCCTGTCATTTGAGTTTTTTTTTTTTTTTTTTCCTTTGGGAGAGGTTTTTGCTATAGGGCACGTGCGCTCGCCAGAAAGAGACAGAAACAGAAAGCAAGAAATCACCCCCTAGTGGGGATGGCCACGCTGCAATCCCTTCTCCATTCTCCTCTCAGGATCTTGGGCACTCATGCACGCACACAACGCCCAGCATGAGTTTCAGCCACTATGTCCAGGACTCGAACCACAGTTGACTACATGGGTGTCCAGCAATATAGCTATTACACCAACTGATGGTCCCTGTCATTTGATGTTAAGTACCATGCAGTCAATACATCACCAATGTAACATGACCTGAAATGAATCAATAAATTGAATGAGACTGTGAGAAATAGATCTACTTTCGACGTAACAGAGACTACAGAGTCTTACTTATAAACCTCTTTGATTACATTTTATTTTTGTTAGTACATCTGTAAAGCATTTGTTAATGCACTATTACTAATGAAATCAGTGAAGAGTGTAGCATTTTATTATCACTCAAACTTTTGTTTTAATGTTTAATTAGTAAAAGGAAATACCATAGTCTTCTTGATTCTGAAATGCCATTGGTGGGTCAAGTCTATTTTATTCCACAGATCTTAGGACACACTAATAATTTCTTTAAAAAAAATTTACTTTCTAGAGGGTATATGTGCTGCCAGAGAGGCAAAGAGACAGAGAACAAGAGGGAGAAAGCAACCCCCAATGAGGCATGGCACAACGCAAACCCTTCTCTCCCACTTCTCCTTTCCATCAGGACCTGTACTGCACATTCCCAGTGTACTAATTTAGTATACACTGGAATTTGAACTGTGGTTTGCCATGTGATCTCTGGTTCCTTAACCACTAGGCTAAAAGGCTGGCCCCTAGCCACATTAATTCTTCAAACTGTCTCTATGGTCTATAGAAGATGCTATCTTGTTGAGAAGAAGAAATGGCTAAGATGTCTTAAATTTGCTTTGTTATCCAAAATATCCCATATTGATGAACAAGTGAACTAGACATATAAAACAATACATTTTAGTATATCCAAACCTATGATATTATTATTATAAATGTCTCAGACATACTGAGGCCAGTAAGTGCCATACCAGTTAGGGCATTGGACTCCCACGTGGTCCACTTCAGTTCAAGTTCCAGACATGGTAGCTTGAAACTCAGAAGGGCGCATGTGCATGTATCCCCAAATTCCTCAAAGGAGACTGGAGGAGAAGGAACTGAGGAATGGCCAGCTCCCTTAGGGTGATTTCTCACTTTTGTCTCTCTGGTGAGTGCACACACCCTATGGCAGAAATCTCTCAAAAACAAACAAAAAGTCTCATGTATTAATATAATGAGTTGAAAGTTTAAAATGTTAATCATTAAAACTGAAAGATAAATCAATAAGTGGATATGATTCGTTTATTTTTTAGTACAAAAAGCACAAAGTACTGTAAAAAAGTACTAAAGAGTCCTTCATGCTCAATGTCCAAAAAGGAAAAATCTAGAATATTTTGTCATTAGCTAATAGAGCCTCTTTGGTTTTCTTTATTTGAAGTCATAGAATCAATCATTTGATTAAATTGACATGTCAGTCTTTTAACTGACTAATCTGGTTCAATACTGTAGTTATGTTGCTTAAAATAACAATATTCCTAAATCAGAAATACTTAAAATTTTTTCATTGTTTTTTGTTTGGTTGGTTGGTTTGGTTTGGGGACCATATAATAGTATTCAGTTTCCCTTCATAATTCCTTCTGCTCTTATGCTCAGCTGCACCTTGAGATCATCTAGAAAACCCAAAACTATTGATATCTGAGCTGCACCTACAGAAATTCTGATGTAATTTGGATGGAAGTCTGAGCATTGGGTCTGCCCCAGGAGATTATAATATGCAACATGTGGGGCATCCACTGGTATATATAAAACCAATATTTTCATTACAACTCACTGCCAGTGCACCCAACTTCTTCAACCATCCCTTTTTCTTTTTTTTGGAGAGGTTTTTGCTATAGGGCATGTGTGCTCGCCAGAAAGACAGAGAAAGACAGAAGAAGGTGAAAAATCACTCTCCAGGGGGGATAGCCTAACCACAATCCTTTCTCTCCCATACTCCTCTTGGGATCTTGGGCACACACACACATGCCCAGCATGAGTTTAAAGCCACCAGTTCCAGGACTTGAACTGCAGTCAGCTGCAGGGAAGTCCAGAGACATAGCCGTTATGTCATCTGCTGGTCACTTCAACCATCCCATTTATTAAGATATGGTCTCCTTTTCTTTCTTTCTCTCTTTTCTTACTATGGATATTTTCATCAAAGCCTGGATGTGACTTAGCAAAAAAAAAAAAAAAAACTAATTACTCATACATTTGTTTAGAATTTTTGCAACCATGTGCATTTTCAAACATGTTAGAGGCAAAGACAATACTTTCAACAGTGTTTATTTTCATTAAAAGACACCAATGGAATTCAAGGTCAAGTCACCTTCTGATTGCACAGAATAGATAAGAAAGTATTACGTACTTTAGCTTTACAAAGCATCTTATTGATTTTAAAAGATCCATACTATCAATAAAATTCATAATAAAACATATATGTAATAAGGAGACTAAAATATTTATTTTACATATCTACAACATGTACTTTCAAATTCCTAGATCAGCCACAAATCATAAAGGAAAATATTTAGGTTCATGAAAAAGTTTCAAAACATTAAAAAATTAACATTTTGAAAAAAATCACAGGTGAAAGCTTATTAAATAATAACATTGACAAATAAATAGTTAATCAGCTTTACTTATTAGCTGCTGCCATGCATTTCTGGCATTCCATTCCAAGCGAGGGTCAGCATGCAGGGTATAATTTCATACTAAGACACTGTAAAAAGCTACAGGGCTTATTTTTGAAGTGAAATGTCACAAGGTCTTTCACTCTCTTTCAAAGGAAGATCACTCATGACTGCTAAACTGTTTCCATGAAGATTACCAAAAAAGCATTTCTGAAATGTTACTGTGAAGATTCATGGCAACAGTTTTGGGTTTGAGAGGGTTTTATTTAGGGGTAGGGATGAGCCAGGAGATGGAGGATAACTGAAAGGCCCCTTTCTGTTTTAAAACATAATGGTTCAGTGATGTATATAGTATTAATAGTCTTTTAAGAATGATGGGGAATTCAAACTGTAAGATGCATGGAATTTAAATGCAAATTGTGCTCACAGATATACGTACATCTTGAAAAACTTGAAAAGGAAAAACTATTCCCAAAAAAGGTCCTGATATTTAGGACAGCTTGCTGGGTTTGATCAAAGCAGGAAGCATATACTTTCAAGTGAGAAAATACCAATGGCAGGCTTGAGTCTTCCAGGCAATCAAATCTGTAAAGCAGATGGTTACTAGTCAGTCCAGTTATGGGAGTCTGAGTTCTAACTCATGCTGTGCTTGCTGGATTTGCTGGATCTTTTCCGCTCTCTGTGATGCTGGGCTGGCTTGGCAGGTGACACGCTCTCAAAGTTGTGACTGGATTCATTGTGCTGCCGGGTGTACCTCTTACACTTGCAGGCAGTGACCACTGTGATCTTGTAGGTGCGTGTGCTGCCATCTTGACACTGCAGCTGGATTCTCTGGGTACGTGTCTTGTCATTGACACATCTCCACTCCTGGGAGCTCCTCCTGCTCCAGTACTTTGTTCCATAGCCTCCTCCGATCCAGTTAGGGAGCACTGGCAGGGGCAAGCACTCACCAGCACACACCAGCTCCTTCAAGGGGCTGATGCTGGTACACTGGCCATCCGAGATGTACTTGGTGGACCGCAGTTCCCGGCAACCAACTTGAACACGAGCTGCAGGAAACAGAAAAGAATGTGCATCAGAGACAAAAAAAATAATAATAATCATGGCTTTTTTTTTTTTTTCCTGCAAAGTAATCTGCAATGACAAAAATAAAATCCAAAGTATGGTAAATTACCAAGTAGAAAGTGAACACCTACTTTATTTTCACAATGTAAAAACCTGCCTGGAGGGCCGTAGAAATACTTTAATGCAAATCATCAGTTTACATGGATCTACATTTAAATAATAATAACCTAGGCCTAATTTTTCCCATGTATAGCATTAACTAATTGCTTATTAGAATATTTGAAAATCCCAGTGTCTTAGTCTTATGTCCCAGTAAGTGTTGAGCACCTCTTACATTTATTTGTAAATATTCATTTTTTATTGAGTTAAAAATAGTACACTTTAATGTTCTCTTTCTCATGGGTCATATTGGTTAATGTCTGCAAGTGCTTTTAATTAGTTTTTTTTTTTAAATCTGTTGAGAAAATGTGGAAAGTATTTAAATATTGTGTCTAAGGCACATGCACTCTGTAGTATTTCATTTCAATGAAAGAATTCAGCTGCAGAGAATTATACATACGTATGTGCACAATGTCTGGCATTTTGCATATCAAACTTAATAACTACATTTTAAACATAAATTCCCAAGTTATCTTGCAAAAATACAAGTAGTGAGATATTTATAATGCAAAATGCCACTATAACTCAAAATGTAAAGAACATAAAAGCCCCTAAATCAGGAACGTATGGTTGCCATAACAACTTGGCTACATTTCTATGAATTTTATGGCAGAAAAATGCCTAACATGTCTGATTTACAACTGCAAAAGGAACCATGGTGTTCATTTCCTGAATATTGGTCATGGCAAACTTTTTGTTTAGTTATTTGGATTTTGTTTAGTTATTTAGTTTGTTCTCTAATTAGCTGTTTCTCAGTACATGCCTTATGTAATTAAAGCAAAAATTAATCTTGAAATATTTGAAGCTCAACTTGCCATTGCCTTGTTTTCTTGCTCCTAAACTTGAGAAGAATTACCTATAACAAGCTTGAAAAGAAATCAAATCTTGTTAACGGGGGAGGTGGGGGGTGTTCAAAAGTACAGGCTGCTGCAATTTAAGAATTAAAAAGGACATTGAAGTAGTTCTACACAGAATACTTAAAGTTAACTCAAAGCAGAAACTGAGTTAGGAGTTTCACTTCATCTCTAGACCCCAGTACATCTGAGGTAAGACATACAGCCTACAGGGAATGTAATCGTTATGGGAAAATATATGTATAGACACATGCATTCATATCAAATCCAGAGTTATGGGATTAAAATTAAAGTAAACTATTTAGTTAGACAATGTACTCAGCTTGCCTGATTTTGATTTCTGCTCACCTTCCTGCAGCTGCCTTAGGAATGCACCTGGAAACAGCTAGAGATGGTTTTGACTGTCTAGGTTTTTGTTCCTGTGTATACAGAGATGCGGCATTTTTGCAGTGACAGTTCATTGACAATGAATATCCACCACATTGCTTACTAATCTAATAATAATCAGACATTTCCTATGTACTTAAAAGCAATCTTCTTCATGAAAGTAAAACCACCTTGGTTTTCTTAGACAGACATTACCAGTCATATTTGCTTTGGCTTTTCAAAGGTCAGAATTACTTTCAGCACTTGAATGGAGTTAAGGAGGAGGGGCACAAGATCTGTGTAAGATTTCCTGTGCACTGTTTCTGTCTGTCTCTCTTAATTCCTGATTATTTGCATGTGGACTCTTTTAAAGGAAAAGAATGGAACAAAAGTTGGAAGAAGAAATTTGAATCCCCCTACCTAGTGGTCAATTAGTGTGTCAAATAAGCAAACCAAAAAGGAAAAGAAAATGCTCACTGTACAAGCCTTTATTGTACTGATAGTTTCAATCTCTTAAGCTATAAAAATGTCCCCAGGCTTTTTCAGAAGTATATAGTTACCTAAATTTTGAGTTGGTTGATAAGGAATCATTTCAGAAAAATATGATTCTCTAGCATTGTGTTTTATCCCTCTTTTACACTGAGTATCAACAAAACTTTCAAGTATTTTATTAGACATAATGTAGAAATTCATGTGAACAATTTTTTCTTGAAAGCTTCCTTTTTTTCCCTTGTAATTTCCTGTACACACTTTTGCTCAGTTACCTTCTTTACCTTTATACACTTTACCAAAATGCACATGTCCTGAAATAAACTGATGAAACACCTGAACTTAATCTAAAACAATACTTTCTAAAATTCTCATTTTACATGATTTTAAAGAAGCAATAGTTTAATTACTGGAAATGTGTGTGTGTGAGTGTGTGTGTGAATGTTTAATAAAACTTAATTCTACACTTCCATTATCAGACCATTGTTTTAGTTATGGTAACTTTACAATCACTACCTAGGGAAGAATGCCAATCTATACATGCTGCAGATTACTCCCAGATTGTTTAGCAAAATATGTATGGTTCAGGTTAGTTAACGATGAAATTACAGGAATGTGAGCTAATGCTACCAAAAGAGAAAATAAATAAAACAAATTGTACAAGTAAAACACACTTACTGTTCCGATCCAGTCCAGTGTTACTGAAATGCCTGCCTCCATTTCTGGCTTGATTCAACGTGCTGTTGCTGCTGGAGTGTGCTGGAACAGGTTTAACAACATGTGAATAAAGGATTTCTGTGGCATCATTTTTAAAAGCCAAACAGCTTTTCATTAGGATGCATGCAAGGGGAATGAGATAGAAATGAATGGCAGGAGGAAGCATGGTGTGCAGAGGATTTGCTTGGCTGGAGAGCTGGTTAATTCCTTCCCCTCTGCCTCTGCACTGTAACTGTGAAATTCCTCCTCAAGGTTCCCTTTATATATCCACAGAGGGTTGGCGTTCATTCAGGTGTAAAGTTGTGTAGAGCTTCAGAGTGAAAACACAGAGAAGGGGTGGGATCCCTACATGACCCTGCAAAAGAATGTTGCCAATGGAAAAGAAGGCTTGCAGGAAAGGAGGAGCTTGGTATACAAATTGCCTGAAATTTCAGAGTTGGACTTCATCACTTGTCTGCGAGCCGGAGCAGCTAAGCACATTCTATAGCAACTACAGGCTCTGCCATTTCCTTTCCTGAATCTAGCTCCCAGTCGAGTTTTATTTCAAGGAAAATATGCTGCTGTTCATTTGAAAGGATTGGCTTTCCCTCATATTCTTCTTAGATTTTAGAATATTTGAGACACATAGGGGCTTCTTTCTTCCCAGAGAACAGGAAGAATTTATGTGAGTTGAAATACTCTAGAACTTACAGGAAACACCTCACTAAGTTAAGCATATTTGGTGTCCGAAGAAACAAACCACTATTTTTTTTTTCTTTAAAGTATAAGGCACGGAGATCAAAATCTGCCCCCTGGACACACTTAAATAATGCTGCTTTGATCTGCATGAACAACTGTGCTGTTAGGTAAATTATTGCCAGGGGTTCTGTGTAGAGAATAACGAGCACAGTTCTGTCTGCATTAAAGTAACTAGTTCAATTTTCATCTTAAAAATGTCACAAATATTAACAGTCATAGCATTTTAGACAAAAAAAGCCATTTTCCACAAGCTATTATTTCACAAATTCAAAATAATTTTTTCTAGTTTTTTTTTTAAATTTATTACAGAACGTAGGTTTACCTATATTTACTAAGCATTTTGTTCACTATTTCCTTCCACTCTGCTGCCCAAATAACAAATGTTATATTTTTACTGAACTGTGTTACCCATACCATTAATTCATACTGGGCCACTGGTTTCCATCCCTTTAAAGAAAAGTTATAAAATTTCATGTGATGCAGGGTCATTTTGTTTGAAATCATTATATGTTCTGAATCATCTCTATTATAAGTCCATTTTTGTCTTTTGTGGGACAATTTAAATAATCTTATAGCATGGGTATTTTGTGTCTTCTTTATAAGCTCTAGTCTACCGTCTGTCAATATATCTATCTAGGTTTCTCTATTAGTGGCACTATTGACATTTTGGAGCAGACAATTTATTATTGGGCATGGGGAGTCTGTGTGTTTAGCAGCATGCCTGGTTCTACCCACTAGATGCCAGTAGCACACTCCTAGTTGTAACAAAAGTATCTTGGAACATTATCAAATGGTCCTGTTTGGGGGAGCGGGTAAAATCACTCTTGAATGAAAACAAATTATTATTCATCTATCTCACTATACAAAAAAAATTAAAATAGGAACAAAAGCCTAATTATTTTATAATACTAGGAATTATTAGTTTTATTTTAGGAGAAAAAATGGTACTGTGCTTTTGTTTTATGAAAACTGTGTATTTTAGAGTTATATACTGAAATATCTATAGATGAAATAATATCTAGAATAAACTTTAAAAATAATATGAGACATGGGTGCTTAGGAGTGTAGGTGGTAAAAGACTGTTTAGGGATAATGGTTCGAGCTGAATGGCGCATATTCTATTCTGTTTACTCTTGTGTATGTTCGAAATTCTACTGAATAAAAAGTATGAAAACCAGAGTCAAATACTGAATTTAATTCTTAGGTACTTCCTAAGAACAATCATATCTCTATCCCAAGGTTCCAAGTAGTCATTTATTCTAGCATCCTTCCTGGAAAATAATGTAACTGTTTATTTTGTGTAAGTGAAGATTTTATAGTAATCCCTTTAAAATACCATGAGGAATTTCTTGTTCTGCTTATCAAGGGACTTGCTATTAATAACACAAAATGTTAATATTAATAATGGATCTGTAGAACCAATGCCTACAGGAAGTAAGAGACTCAAAATAGTCTAATTTCAGGACCAGAAGAAGTTGGCATAATGGCTATGTCGCTGGACTCCCATGTAGTTGACCACGACTCAAGTCCCAGGCCCAATGGCTTAACCTCACACCAGGCACATGTGTGTGCGTGCCCAAAATCCCAAGAGGAGAATGGAGGAGAAGGGATTGTGGCGTGGTCATTCCCCTGGGAGGTGATTTCTCATTTTCTGTCTCTCTGTCTCTCTCTGTCTTTCTGATGAATGCATGTGCCCTATAGCAAAAACCTCTCAGAAAAAAAGAAATAGTCTAATTTCTCCAATATATTTTTCTTTTTTGTGTCAGGACCAGGAGATATTTTACTTTGAATTAATTATCAGGTCAGGATAGTCATATTGACCAAATTTATGCATAATTGTTAACTCTGCTCTATACCTAGTATTCTGTACACTTAGCCTTAGGACATTCACCCAAGGCAGAAACAAAATCAGGACAAAAGGCAATGCATTAGAATATATGGACAGGAAAAAACTCATTATATTTAGGTTCAATATATCTTACATGACCTAATTTACAAAAGTACTTTAATAAATTACAAATAGCCATGCATTTAATAATTAACAGTTATTCTAATCAATATAATACAACTTCATTAATATCTATAAGCTCTAATACACTGATAAGATGATAGATACAGGCCCAGCCACAGAGGCACAATAGTAGCACAGTGCTCCATGATGCTGAAGCCATATGGAATGTCAGGGTTCAGTTCCAGGATCAACCTGTACATACCAGATGCCCAAATGCCCACAATCCTGGTTGGCTAAGAAAGTTGGGGAGAAAATCACAGTGTGAGACCCTGTTGAAAGTGCTTGTCTCTGTCTTTTTTTCTCTCTCCTTCTCTCTCATAAAATAAGTAAATAAACGTTAAAATAAAGATTATGGATATATTTTAATATCATAATTGAATCTTATCTCTGAGCTTTGGTTTGTGTTAATATAATTTCCCCCCTCTGTTTGGAACATCCTTCCTTTATGCTCTTCTTCCTTGGCTAGTACCTATTTTTCTTTTAGGTCTCAGCTTAGATGGCACTAGGACTAAGAAATCTTCCCTTCTTCTCCCTCCTCAAGTCTCAATTCAGCACTCCATCTACCAGAGCAGCTGGTTGCCTGATAAACTGGAAAGACTTATGATAGAACTTCCTATTATCTTACAAATATTATTAAATAAGTGGATAAATGAATTATTTAAGAGTAATAAGGGCCAGCAGGTGCTATGGTTATTAAAGCACTGGGTTTCCACTTGACCAACTGTGGTTTGAGTCCTGGACCTAGTGGCTTGCTTTTTCATTTTTCCTCTCTCTCTCTGGTAAGTGCACATGACCTACAGCAAATTGAAAAAAACAAAAATAATATTGAGTGCTCAGAAAAGTCATGACGCCTTTTTTTTTTTTTTTGGAGAGATTTTCACTGTAGGGCGCGTGCGCTCGCCAGACAGACAGAGAGAGACATAGAGACAGAAAGCGAGAAATCACCCCCCAGGGGGGATGGTCACGCCGCAATCCCTTCTCCTCCATTCTCCTCTCGGGATCTTGGGCACGCACGCACACGCGCCCGGCGTGAGTTTTAAGCCACCGGGTCCGGGACACAAACCGCAGTCGACTACGTGGGAGTCCAGTGACATAGCCATTACGCTAACTGCTGGTTCCCATGACGCATTTTTGAAAAGAAAAATATACTGTGACTTTTCTGACAACCTAATAAATAAATAAAATTAAACAAATAATTCTTTTTTTTAAAAAAAAAAAAGATGATAAAGAGGAACTATAGAGGCCTAGCCTTGGTAGTGCAGGCAGTGGGAATGCTGCTGCACAATATGTGAGAAAGCTCTGGGTTTGTGTCCTGGGTCTACCTCAGTATGTATAATCTTGGCTGGCTGCAGGGCTTCTGGGTAGACTGCAGTGAGGAGACTCTGTAAGTGATTTCTTTCTCTCTCTGTCTCTGTCTCTCTCTCTCTCTCTCCCTCTCAGGAAGTACATATTTAAACTTAAAATACATAAAGAAAAAGTATTCTTTAAAATATGAAAAGATTGGTTAGTATTTATGGTAGGCAATTGCCAAGATGGGACCCATTAATCTTCCTTGGGGCAGTCACACCTTGGTAGCAATCCTCATTCCTTGTGTGAGATAAATTCAGTGATTAAGTTTTTTCCTTTTCTTTAGTTTTTTAGTTTTTAGTTTGTTTGTTTGTTTGTTTTTGCCATAGGATACAGAAATAGAGAGAGGGAAAGTGAAAAATCAGCTCCCAAGGGGATGGCCATGCCTCAGTCCCCTCTTCTCCATTCTCCTCTTAGGATTCAGGCATGCATGCACATGTGTCTGGTGTGAATCTCAAGCCAGCAGGTCTGGAACTCAAACCACTGTCAGTCATGTGAGACTCCCAGCACCTCAACCATCCTGCCACCTGCTAGGTCCATGATTAACTTCTAATGAGGATAATATACAAATATGATTGGCTGTGACTTCTATTAGCATGATTAGTTCCCAAAAGACTATGATTTCTGTCTTGCTCAACATCTCTAACTCTCTCATTTGTCTGTTTTGATGGAAGCCAGCTACCATGATGTGACCACCCTCTTTCCCCCATGGAGAAGCCCATGCAGCAAGAAACTGATTTGTGTTGCCAGTGAGGAACTAAAACTCTCAGCCAAGCAGCCCATGATGACCAGAATTCTATCAATAGCTTCATGGGTGAGCTTAGAAGCACAGCCTCCAACACTCAATCCACCATGGCCTAAACCACAACTGCAACCTTTTGAGAGACTGAGAGATGTTGAGCCATAGACAACCACAGGAACTAGGAGTTAATAATGTTTGTTGTTTTAACCAAATTTGGGGTTAATTTGTTATATAACCATTTGTTGTTTTAAATAAGTTTGGGGTTAATTTGTTATATAACCATAGAAAATACAATATTTGTTTAAATATAAAGATACCATAATTAAGCCACTTTGTAATAATATTAGGGCCTTGAGAGCATTATATATGGAATCATTAAATATGGTGTTTATACAACCTTCATTATTTGGACAAGCTTAGAGACCTATTCCAGTCCTCAGCTAAATTATCAACATGGTGCCATTATTAATAATCAAATAATGGTGGGACTAGCAGTTGGG